GTGAGCCCCTTTAAACAGCCAATGAAGAAGAGTAGATTCTCTGGAAAGAAATTAAAAAGCACATTACATTGGTCTCCTGATGTGCTTTGCCTTTGGAGACATTTCTCTCTCTCCACTGACCTGGCTCCCTAATGAGGTATGTAAACTATGGAATCTCCCCACCAAGTGTGCTTGCTTGTAAGGTTTGCAAAAGGGAGGTGTCCAGGACACCTGCTTGGCCTGTGTGTACTTCTGACCAAATCAACAAGTACCACTGGAGGTCAAACAAGAATTAAAGAAATGGCATTGGGATGAGCTGGTTGTACACTCCAAGCATATTAGGGGGGAGAGAATGCAGCATTATTGATTCCAGCCCCTGACCTTGGAATGATGTAAATAGGTGTGCAGCTACCCTAGAAGAGTTGTAGTAAAACAATTATAGCATTGCAAGCAGATTAAAAACACAGTTAATATACATACTTCCCCAGATGCTTGTTTATTATTATGCAAGACATGTTTATTATGCAAAATGATAAAGCAGAAAAATAGGAGAGGAAAAGAAAATGCAAAGACACACTGAGCTCTTAACGTGACTTGGGTTTTCTCAATGCTGCTTAGTTTGGTTTTTTTTTATTACTGTGCATAATCATTCCCTTATTAGCAGGAATCTTTGAAGTGATTCAGGCTCTAATTTCAGCATTTCAAACTCACAAGTTTATACTGTAAAACCATAGTGAGCTATCGTAAGTGACCCATTTTTTTCCCCTCTGTATTCTGTATCTCTGCTAGGATTTCTCAGTCTTTCAAATAAATTATGTATCACGATTTGCCATTTCAAAAATAATTAGAACTCTGAGTTTAACAACAAGGAATATCTGAGAGCAATACATTTTAGAAGAGAATGGTTTGCACTTGGGGCAAACCAATCCCAGTTGCAATGCCACTGAATTATACATATTGTCATATTGAGTGAGAGCTGCACTTTCAGCACACTAGTGACTGGGCAGACCTGTGGAGGCTCAACTGCCCCATGATGGTGATCTGCTCCAGGACAACAAGATTCACCTCTCAGGCAAAGCACTTCAGAGGTACTCCCTTTCCCATGCTTCTGTGAGTTGTTGCAGGGATAACAGAGAGAAAGCTGGGCATCGAGGAGAGAAACTTCACAAAGAAAGGTTATACAGGAGTGGGAATTAATTTGGTGGTAGAACTATTAACTCCAGACAGACAGGAGAGCATGTTCTGTGTCTTCTCCCGTTAAGATTAGGCTGTAAATTCACTGGAGCAGGACGTACCTCTTTATTCTGTGTTTCCCTCTCCTGTGCAACAACCAGCCTTTGGTGGCAGCTTCCCATGGGCTAAGGCACTGCAAGTAATACTCACTGCCCTTCATTCATTCTGTGCATTTTTACTTTGGCATAAAATGCTAACAGTGGATCCTCAGGAGAGTCATGTCCCTCCCCAGAACAGGTGCTGATAGAAACCCTTGTGCACCATCGGGAATTTACAGCTGCTCTACATTATAGGAAATCAAATGGAAACACAGCAATGACTCTGGTAAGCTTGCTATGAAGACAGTGGTTTGTACCCTAAAGCCAGGTGCCTTCAACCAAAATATGATTTTCCTGTCTACTAAGCACCTAATTTCCACGTAGACCTCAGAGGTGGCAATAACCTAGTCTCTGGGGGGGAAAAAAAAAAAAATCAGGTATCTGGTGTAAGTAAACAAACAGCTGCTTCCCAAGCAAAGAAGCTTTATTATCTAATGCATTTAGGCCTCTGAAGCTGGCTAGGAATCTGTGATTGGCTTTAAACCAGCAACCCAACCCTACACTATCCCTGTCCCCTGTCTGAACAGATAAGGTAGGGATGAGGAAACTCATTGCTGAAGGTATCAGTGTGGTCGAGCCCATCGGAAGGTCTTTCATGTTTCTACAAAGTGCCATCTCACCCAGTTTGGCTTTAGAGAACTCCACTCAGCCCTACTTTTGTGCTAATCAACACCAGGAAGACTTTTTCCAAGGGCTGGTTATTCTAAGCCCATTCATTCAAGAGCCCATTGGCCCAAACTCAGAAGGAGCTGGCACAAACCATCTTTAAGACAAGGCTGATAATAGCCTCTGGTTTGATTCAGGGCAGAGGATGTCAGCCAAGATCTCAGCTGTCACACAGAGATTAAATATCACCAAAATAACCCCACAAAACAAAACCAAAACAAATCCCACAGTGATGACATGTTCAGTTACAGCATCAATCTGGGCTCAAGAGGAGGGGGGAAAAAAAAGAGAAAAAAACCCCCAAACAAAAAAACTGGTTACCCTGGACAATTTTATCTGAAACCAGTCCTGGGTCTGAGCATGTTCTAAGAAGCCCTTGCAGAGCTAGACCTGAGACGTACAGCACGGAAAGCAGCCAAGCAACAGAAAAGTTCATTTATCAATGGACCTGTGTGAGTGAACAATATCTGTGGGGAACGTTGACCCATTTTTTCAGAAACTCCTCAGAAAAGGCTAGTGGGAAAAAATAAAAAAAAGGGTACATGCACAGACAGAACAAAGTGTAGTTTAGGGTCTGCTAAGCAAAGAACAGGGATGATGTGTCCCTCGGCATGGGCCACAATCAGATCCAGGCAGCATGGAAAGGGGCTCTGCTCGTCCCAGGGAGGACCAGACTGTCAAGTCCTACCAAAGCAATTCCCCTGCACAGTCTTTGAGACTGATACAGCCATGCCAAAGTTTGGCTTGGAGCAGGTTCCTGACTTCACAAGGAAAGCTACAGTATCCAAAAGAGACTGCCCAAAAAGGGTATATTATCTCAGATATATCCACTTCTTTTATATCACCCTGGTCTCCTAATCCCTTGTCTTCAATGTTATAATGGGCTTGACCCACACTCTCTGCTTCTAACTGGTTTTATCCACAAAATTTCTTTTTCCTTGCCTTGAGGTCTTCTCCAAAGCATTGATTTACTGCTCTAAGACAGAGACAGAGCCACTAGTTATCACAAGAAAAATATTTAAAAAGTTCCATCTCCCTGGAGTAGAGATAGGCCAGTATCATCCATTTACTGCAAATGAAACCTTAGATCACGATGATGACATGAACAGTTTCACTCTTATTAGTTCAGACAGAGCTGAATGCCATCAAGCTGTGGCATGTAATGAGGTTCACTTCATTAACTAGTGACCATCATGGTGCACCCTTTCCCATCAGCCTTCCCTGATTAACCCTCCTACTCAAGATGGGCACACTCGTCGGAAATAAGAGGGCCCTATTAAACCACCCTCATTTGAACACATGTATGATCTGGTGCCTTTTAGGAGTTGATATGACTAGCAGATGTGTTTCCTGAAAAACATGGTCCTCCTGCTGCTTACCATCTCTTGGTATGCCCCTCCCACCCTTTATATTGTGTCTCACTACTACTAGCAAGAGATACTTTTCCTCTGCATCATCTCTAATCTCTCAACTGTCAAAAATGACATTTTCAACTCTATGTTCCTTCTTTAGCTCAAGACCCACACCTTTCCCTCCCTTGCACTATTTGCTCAGAAAATGCTGACCACTCCTGGCTCCAAGAAGACCCACATCCTGGCTGTGGCTCTGTGACAGACACCGATTTCCTGCAGTCCTCATTTACAGGGCACTGGTAGTACAAGAAGCCAGAATTCTACAGTTGGGGCAGAGCTATGTCCTACACTGCCCAAACTGGCAATGTGCCCAGAGGGAAGCATGCACAATAATGCAGTACCACACCACACTCAGTATTACCTTTAGGACTCTGATACAAAATGAGGAAGTTTTCACTGTTAGTAAACTGATGTAATTTATTTAGGAGCAGTCATTTATGTTTACTGGGCTATGAAAGAACAGGAAGCGTCTGGCATCCACAGAGATCCAGATTGATCTCTCTGTCTCTTCTTGACAAGCAGCCAGTTTTGAGACCTATCTCACCAGGCATACTAACACATTCACTTGTCGTTTTCTACCCTGAGCTGCTGGGGAGACAGAGCTTTGTTACATTCCCAGGGAAGGGGGGAAGTCCAAATCACCTGAGTGGTAAAAAACTGAACAGGAACAAAGATGGATGGCAAAAGGTAGGAAAAATTGCATAGAACAACTCAAACTTCTGTCCTTTCAGTGATCCCATTTCTATGCTCACATAGGCTTTTAAAGCAAAGTAAAAGCCTAGACAAGAGCAGAATCTCTGCACTGTAAATTTACACAAAGGCAGATGAGATTAAAATCTTGGCTATACACTGTAAAGCTATCATAACTACAGAAATGAGAAAAGTATTATTAACTATCACTTTTTACTATATAGAACTAGAGCAAAGTTATTTGAAGCATAAAAATTCTGGCAAAGGGCTGCCATATTTAATAAATCACCAAATCAATTATTCACTGTGAAAATCAATTACTTACTTCAAATGAGAATCTTATGAATAACCTCATGCCCTCTCATGCCATCTAAGAAAGTTATAAGGGAATTAGTTGGTAAAAATTGCCTCACTTATCTTTTACGTGCATTTAGAAGACAACACAAATATAGGGAAATTCTGCCAACAGAACAGTCCAGAACCATTTTAATGGAGTCAAAGTATTTCTGTGGATTTACACTTCAGTCAAAAACAGAGCATGAGCCATTGGGGCACCACCTATCAGTTATCTGGGTGCAACTCAGAAGCAATCCCACTGAGTCCATGCTATTTCACAAATGTGAAATCAGACTATAACCAGCCAACTCTATACCACCTCCTCTACAACATGACCTACATTAAGTATATACTCAAAGGAACACAAAGTGTATCTTCACAGGTCAGGAAATATTGCCATGAATCTCCATGGAGACACTTTAAAGTGAATATTGCATAGCCTTGCAGCAGCTCCCCCCACCCCTGCTTTTAAATGTTTGGTGATACGTGACCATTTTCAGAAAAAGCTGCAAGTGCCAGCACAGTCTGCTTCCTCCTGTGCACAAAACCAAACCACTTCAGGACTCCAAAAGTGCGAAGTACTTACTGAGCTGTAGAGATATCCCTCAGCGTTCATGGCAACGTACAGACCTGCCTTCACCCCTTGGATTGCCACCACACGAAGACCCACAGGAATTAGATTGAAAAGGGCTGTGGAAGGAAAAGAAAAGCAAATTATATGGAGACATCACCCTGCATGACAACTGCTGCTTTTGCCCCAGGCCCAGCCCACCCCACTCCTGACTCTTCACAAAAGAGACTGGACTATAAATCAAGCATCCTGCTTCCAGCTACAGGAAAGGACTGCAGCCACAGTGATGATGGTGAAAGGAATTTTTAAAAGTGCTGAGTTTGGCTGCCTCTCAAATGCCTTAACACACCCATCAGTCTGTCTGATCACTGCCTTTGCAATGCCAAGGGCTCATACGTGTTCCCAAGCTAGTGCATCTCAGTGGCTTTCCAAGAGCCAGCTGAGCTGGGGTAACTGCACATATACATGACTTTGCCTATGGCAAATGCAACAGTACAATTTAGTTTAGTTCAGCCTGAAATACACTTAAGCCTAGTCACACTTTCTTGCATTTGCCATATGCTAAAAGAGTACACAGAGAGTGACCATGGCCAGAAGGCTGCAAATTAACTTGACTGTGTGTTTGCCCATGTGGTCCCAGCTGTCAAGGGAATGAAGAAACTCAGGAAGAGATACTGCTCCAATCCGTGACCTGAGCACTGCTCCTTATTCAGGAGCAGCACTGAATAGGACAGAAGAGGACAAGATCTTTCAACACTCAATTTTACTGCAGCCTTATTGATTTAAGCATTGCAATTACTTCCTCCCAATTAATTACTTCATTGCTTGACTCACACCCAGTAGACCTTGTATCTTGTTGAAAGACCCTTCCCATGAGTATATACATTAATGTACTGTCAGGCTTTTGCTACATTCCTAATAGCATGGGCTCAAATTGGAGAGGACTGTCAGCACTGATAGACTGAGCACTGAGGCATTAGCATGGCTTTGTTTCCACTGAGATTTATAGGACAAGACTATTTAGATGTGGCAGGACCTTTTGTGTTTCAGCTTAAAAGCAGCTAACTAGACCTTGTCCTAGGAAGCTCAAGATATGGAAGGATGGGCAGAGTCAGGCAGAAACAAGCCCAAACACATGGAAATACTTCACTCAACATCTCTTCCCACACAGCTGCCCTGAAAAAAAGAATTTTTTTTCTGGTTCCATAGTCATGAAGTCAGACTGTCCCTGACATGTTCATGAAGCATTTCTCACAGCTTTTTAACACACTCATTTGCAAAAGCCTGCTTAAAACTTCTCAGCAGCTTTGGGGTGTTCAAATGAGCCCAAGGGAGACCTGTGAAAGGGCAGAGAGCAGAGGAAAGACTGAGTGACAGAGCACGCAGTGAAGCATTCTATTCTCCAGCTGACTTTTAAGGACATCATCCTCTAGCTAACGGATTTTATACATCATTTACAAAGTTTTATGTCTGACACATCACACTGGAGCAAGCACAGCACAGAGGAGTCTTCATGAGAAGGCAGTTGTGGGAAAAACTCCTTCTCACAGTGCCATCTCAAAGCTTTTCCTTCCCCAGGAGATGGACCACTGATGATTTCACATCAGGATAAAGCAATTTTTGCTGAAATGGCCTATCCAAAACGCTTAGAGCTTCACAGGCCAGGCTAGTGTTATTCCTGGTACGGCAGGAGGAAACTGAGTTAAGCTCAACATTAAACTCACAACCTGAAAAGTCTGGTTCAATGTGCATGTGCTAGGTAATGCACGGATTTATCTCAACCACAAGATGCTTCCCAAGAACCTACCTCATATACAATGTGAATTACTGCAGAGGAGATAAGGTAAAAATGTGTTTGAATTCCTTTCCAAAGAGAAAAAACCCCTGAACATTTATATTCAACGAGGAGAAAGGAGGGAGTCAAAAAAAAAAAAAAAAAAACGCTGACACTGTGGCTTGGTTCTCTCCTTGAAGCCAGGGGTTCAGACTACAAAGTCTGAGCCAAAGTTCCGGGATTCCCACTATTTCTAAGAGAAAAAGCATAACCCAAAGTGTATGTGAAATGTAATGAAAAAGGTCACATTTGACCTAAACTCTTGGTGGATTTGCTTAAAGGTCGTGATGGATAACTTTTCAGAAGTAAAATCTGAAAAGAGCCCAGGAGACAAAGCCACTTTGCTCCAGATATCTACCAAATATCTTGGCTGAGCTGTTGTCAGGGTTGTTTCCAAAAGGGGATTCATGAATTCCAGTTTCTCATGAATACCATTACTTCCTCACTTAATTCCCACAGAAGATTGGATGACTCCCCCCAGTGAGCTGCCTAAAAGGGAGGTAACTCGAGTCTAGGAAAAAAAACCCAACCCTACCCTCAGCCCCTTTTTGTGCTTTTAAGCACCATAATCAGTAAAACATCAAAACATATGCTGAAGTCTTAGTAAAGCCAGTGCCCACATTTCTGATTTCATGGGAGAATGTCAACAGATGCATATGGCAAATGCAGTCTAGCCTGGGTATTCATCCGTGAACAACTGGAGTCAAGGACAGTGCTACTCTGATACTGTCCCCAGACAAGACAAACACACCCCACTGTAACTACTCAGCATTAAAAGTGTTACCTCTCCCTTTCTCCCTACCATGAAGGTCTAAAACCTTTTGCAATTAACAAGTCCATAAGCAATTCCCCTTCCCTGTATTTTCCTCCTACTGAAAAATGGAGCATATTACTGCTAATAATGAAACAAAATGGGCATCATCATTCATTCCCTACAGCTAATTTGTCTTGCATAGAAAACTTGTGACAAGCCACTCAAAGCATTCATTAGGCAGCAAGGTGGTAATACCCAGAATTAGGGGATAAGAAGTTCCACTTGGAAGCACCCACATGTCTGCAAATCTCTCCTTCCACCTATACATGTAAAGGAGCACAGGAACAATCCAATTGTGCTGTGTTAGGGTAGGAAGACCACTGCCAGTCCCAAGCTCCCAGGGACCCTGCTGCACCCACAATTAGAGCAGAGCACCTCCTGCAAGACACACTGCAGAACAAGGGAGCAAGTGGGCAGGCAAGCACGAGGACACACAGCTGACATAAGTAACTGGCAGCTAAAAAATTCTAGGAAGCAAATATCTTCCTCTATTAAAAACCAGTAGTTTGGGTCAATCAAGATTTAGCAAATTCTCAGGGCTGCACTCCAATCTAGAAACATCTTTGCTTTCATGCTTCCAGATGAATATTTTGTCTTGCTTTATAACAGATTTAAAAGCTTATAAGCTTTATTGTAAGAATGTAAGAGTGTGTGGGGGAAAACCCCTCTACCAATCTCAAAAGCAAGATGTCTCATTTTTTATGAGGAAAAAAAGTCTGATTAATTTGAAACAGCAGATTTGGCAATGTGGAAAAGGAGTAGCTGTGATAGAACAGAACTGGACACAGGGTGTGCTGATGTGAAAAAGAGAAAAAATTAACAGTGGTACATTTTCTATGCCATCTGCAGCTTCATAGAATGGATATGCTCTTTTACTTCACAGGCAGAAGAGAAAAAATTAAGACACTGAGTATTCGTGCCCCTTTTTCTTTACTACGTCTTACCATTTTCAACCATCAATAAGTTTACACCTGACCCTGGTTATTGATGATACTACTTTTAGCGATGGAGCTCGTTAGCCCTATAAAAGGCAATCCATCTACGTCCTAAGGACCTCGCTGCCACCGTCCAAGCTCGCTTGGCCCCGGCAGATGAACCTTAGGATTAAAGGGTGGGCTCAGTTCCGCGCACACTGTGTCTCACCTAAAAAATCCAATGCGCAGGCTGGAAGGTGTAAAGACCTTCCCCAGATCTTCGCTCGCGAAGACTGGCCATTATTATTATTACTTTTAGCACCCTCCAGTCCTACACCCATGAATATGTTGTCACTGTTACGTTAAGGTATCACCTAAAATCTGAATGCATACTTCCCTATGGGTCTGGACTAACTTCATGAGAGAAATGGAAGAGTAAGGAAAGGTGTGTCGTATATAAGGTGTGGTCCAAGGAGGATGTTGGAAAAGAATCCTCCTTAATCTTTTTGTGTTTCTGGCTGGAAAGCCCCAAACAATACCCTAGATATGCTGGGTTGTTTCTACCAGGTCAGTACAGTTCACCTATCCTTTATGCACTGTCCATTTGCCAAGGTTTTTCAGATGTTCAGCAAGACAAAAAAAGAAGTCTAATTTCTCAAATGAAGGGGCATTACCCTGCTCAGCCCAGGAAAGAGCAATAAAGACTGCAAGCACTGACAACGGGAGTCAGCCCTGAAAGACTATTTGAGATCACTGGAGCTGGAAGGAAAAGATACTGCCCTAAGTTCAGGTTCACACATAACATTACTAACAATGCAAACAGGGGGCTCACACACCATGAAATTGCACTCCAATTAAAAGAAAATCCTTCATATATCCCAGCACCAGTAGCCAGAGAATGTGTCTCCTTGCTCACACTAAGATGGCGTGCCTTTAACGGCATGGTAGAAGGAACAGATGTCCCAAGTGCTGGTTCAGAGGAAGCTGGCTGGATGCCCATTCAAAAGCCTTGGTTATATTGGCTCTTGGTTATATTTTTTTTTCCTTTGAGTGAGAGGAGGCGGAAAATAAATGCCATCAGCTTCAATAACACACATAAAATGGGCACCGGATAATTAATTTAAAAATTGCTTAAATATTAGCAGTTCATCTTGTATAAATAACTGGGTTTTTATTAGAACTTTTAATTGCATCAGACATATCTGAGGGACATGTCGTGTCTCATTCTAAATGTTTATTTTGCCAGGGTAAACCAACCTAATGTATTCCATGAAAATTATGCTTCCTTTCATAATGCTAATTTAAATAATCAGTGTGTGGATAAAGAACACAAAACAATGCATGGAACATGGTGTTCACCAGCTATTTAATTGTGCTAAGATGACTTCTGCATGGAGAACAGATGGTCATTCAAGGTGGGAAGGACTGTGCTGTGGACATCAAGAGTGCCCTTCTCTGCCAATGAATGCAAGTTAACAAACCCCTCTCCAGGGGTAGGGAAATATTTATCTAGTCTTTGATGAGTTTTGCCCATGCACAGACTTCTTACTGGCTGGTCAGGAATCTTCTTGAGAAGTATTTTAAAAACAGAAAAGAGCAGAGAAGTAGATCTGTAAGATGTTTACTTAGACAAATAGATTTTGACTGTCTTCTGGTCAAAAATGGAGATGTTTGGAGAACAGAAAAGAAAAAACGTCAGTCTGCTTTACTTTGGCACTTACAAAGCGAAAAATTATTTTGTTGTGAAGCTGTAACAGGAACTTTCGTATATTATAAAATGTCCATTCAAACTGAAGATCATTTATGAAGGAGAGCATGTGGCAAAAAGTTTTAAAAACTTGAATAAAGCAGAGTCTTTCATTTTCAGAAGCCAAATATTATCAGGTTGGATTCTTTTCCTCTTTTGAGATCCCCTGAGATCAGCAGATGGGGAATTCTTTGGCTTCAACCTTCTCCCATAAACTTGCCTGAATTTTGCAACACAGTCCCTGACTTTGAGCCGGTGGCTTGGCACATTTCAGCAAGATGCTTCCTGTCCCAACAAGCTGCTGAGGCAGGGCTGCCATCTCACCAGATAAATTTACACTCTCAAAGTGCACTTCAGCCCATCTATTTCCAAGTAAGAAGACTGGGTAGAAGTGGCCCTCAGGTACTCAGCACCTTGCCAAACCAATCTCTAAAATTTCTGGTGGGCTATATAAATCAGATCTGTTTGGGCAATTGGGGCCCAACCTCAGCCATGGGAACTCAGAAGGTTCTCCTGTACCTACTGAGGTGCAGCCAGCAGCAGCTCCCCTCATCTCCCCTGCCAGCCTGAAATATTGCAGAACTGCTCTTACACTTTATTCTCCTCTGCTGTTTACCTAAATTCATCCTTGCCCCCGTTTAAACCCATTACTTTGTTGTTCAGTACTCTCTGATAGATGAGGGTAATGAATCCCTGCCATCTCTACCATATCTTCCCATGTTTTTGACTAATAGGCCTCCAGTGGGATTTTCTGCAGCTTGAAAACACCCTATGTCATCTTTCTTTAGGAAAAAGTAGCTAAAACAACCAAACACTGGGTCATTACTCACCCACCAAAGCCCACTGAACTTACCCCATGTTTTGGTGTCTGCCTGAGAGTATCACAAGGCTAGACTCTTCTTGTAGGAGGAGACCTGCTCAGTCTCTCAAAGCATGTGTGTGTGCGGAGGCCCACAGATTCTCCTGGCACCACATAAATCAGAAGTTGTGTCATTACAATTTAATTTGTTCAACACCAGTATATGAGAAAGGACTAAAACCTGACACTTGCATCTGCTACAGGCCAAGTTTTTGGTGGATGCAGCCTCTTGGGTCATTCCACAAGAGCTTTCCAGTCACCATCTCCCCAAAGCCCCTCTCATGCACAGAACCCCAGCCCTGGGCTGGCTGCAGCAGGGCAGTCCCACTACACACGGTGCTCCTCCTACAGTACTCTGACATCTTCTTGGGGATGGGGCAAAGACACAGATATGGGGCTGCAGCCACCTTGCACCCTTGTCCAAGTGCACCTTCACAGGATAATGTTGATGCTGTGCTACACGTGTTGCACCCCTACAGACATCCCTCACCTGCAGCCCAGGCCCTGCCTTCCTGGAGAAACGCTGCCTTCAATCCAATTAGGAGCTTCTTTGAATCAGAGCAAGATTTGACCCCAAATTCAGCCAGTTTCTCCTTTCACAAAGTACAAAAAGTTTGCTTCCATCAGTCCTACCACAGATGAACTTTTGTTCATCTCTAGTAACTACTAGGAAGACACCTTCCATGCTGGTCAGATTAGATATCCTTCAGCAGTGGTACAGGGAGCTTCAAACCAACATAGGATAAGATAAAAGTATTGAGTCCTCCTCTGTTGATGCAATTGGTGGCAACAAGGATATGAGCTTCACTGCCCCCTCAGAAGCATCAATCTGATGCCTATGAAATGCAGAGATGCTGCACAAAATATTCTACATCCTTTTTAGCTTTTTGAGAACCTTTGGTACTGACAAAATAACTTTTGCAAAAGGAAGATTGACTAGTGCTTTGCACGTATTTAAACAAATATGGCTCCTGCATGTGAGCACAGTTTTTAAGCCTGTGTGACTCTCCTTTTGCTGGACAGCACAAACCCAACGCCTTTAAACAGGGTTTTGGAAGATGACCTCCTTTTACAAGGTCATTCAATACCCTCAGCCTTTACACCAGCCTCAAAGCACAAGGTTTCAGTGAACAGCTGCTTTTCTCCAGCCCAGAAATTCCTGATGCTTGCTGAATTTTTGAGGATAAAATAGTGAAAACCATTTTCTCCTCTTCTCCTTGGAGAGAGAATTCCCCGTATCCTTTACCCACGTGGCATGTGTATAAATATAATCTCCTTTCTCTTCTGGCAGCAATTCAAATCATGGGTTTTATTCTCCACCCCACCCAGATGGCAGTTACAGAATCGGGGCAGGAGGGAAGAAGATCGGAGAGGAAACATATGAAATTACACAGGCAACATTTAAAGGGGAAGGATAGATAGGAAAAAATGTGCAGAAAACAGCTGTCTTCCTCCTGATTTGATCTTTTCAGAAATGAAGCTGCACAAGTGAGACCCACTAGGTGATGCATTTGATTGTAATTGGGTTGCAAAACAGGCTAATTTTTCTTACTGTAGTCACTGTTTTCGTCCTTGGTCCCATCAATTGTACCATCTGGGTGCATCTGCAGGAAGTATTCCTGCTGGCTGAATAACCTTGTCACAATTCCTTTCAGCTGGGGTTCTGCAAAATAATAATAATAATAATTACTAGATATACCAAGCAGCACAAGACCCCATTTGCTTTTCCCCCATTAAGCCATAAGTAAATGTAGAAGTGTTTGGCAGCTAAGACGGTTTTCTGTGATTCCTTTCAAGAGTGGTTGTAAAATATTCATATATACACAGATGTACTGGCAAATAAAACTGAGATCAGATGTGCAGGTAAAATGTAATGCATAGTTGGTGCAGCAGAAACAGAATACGATACATCACAAAGTTACTTACCGAATGGAAGTCTTTAGACAGTTTATGTATTCTGGATATACCACTTATTCAGAAGAGTATTTCCTAGCAATGTTGCAAAGAATCTGCCCATTGTTTCTTATTCTGCCTGCGAAGGCAACTATCTTGCTTTCTCTAGGGTTGATTCACTATCATTCCCACTTGCATGCAGTCCCAGTTTTATGCCACTAAAAATCCATTTAAATCACTGGTATTATAGTGGTATAAACCCAGAGTAACTGAGTGCCAAATCAGGTTGCATGAGTCCAACTGTGTGGGACTCTAGAAGCAAAATTCCAAAAGAAATAGATGCAAGACACCTCTAAAACTGACCTATGAAGCATTTAGGGGCACCTTAAAACACTCAGTTTTAAAATCCTGTGTCTCTCCCCTTCGAAAACACATGCCCCACACCCTGGTAGATGAGAATCTTTGTCTCTAGCAGGGTCCTTTCCCAGACTCCGTGTACCATGAGTCAGCCATGTCCTGGCTAGGGGCTTCCCTATTACCTCTGCAACGTCTTATACCTTCCGGCTGAAGAGAAGAAGGAAAACACAAAAAAAGCAGAAACAATTTAAACTTCACAAGACAGAGGTGTGCAGCTTTACCACCCGTCTCCCTGTCATCCTACCAGTCAAACACAAGTGGTCAAAAATAAATTCAACTGTAGTCATTCTAGTCTTAAAATTTGTCACAGGCATTGCTGCTGGAAAGCAAGTGAGCTGGCTACAACGTGAGCAGACACACAAGCTGGGATGACAGAGATCCTCCTTGTGTGACAGGAGGTTGTGGTTTTATGTGACCACCCATCAAAAGTAAATAAATAAGACCTAGTTATTGCTGGCTCAATGGACAGGAAAAAGTCCAGCGTAGCATACCAAAATCTCCCCAGCCTCCTGCCTTTCATGCCTCCAGTGAGGCTGTTTAATAAGCCATAGTTGTTATATAACTGCGGTCACGTTGTGTGTTAAGGGTTTTCATTAGAATCCCCCATCTTGATGTACAGCTCCCCTCGGAGGGAACCCTCAGCCTGCTCTCCTGCACTCACAAATCCTCCACAGCAGCGGGACCCCAGACGCTGACAGGCTGCAGGTGCAAAGGATTTCAGCTTAGAAAACTCCTCCATCAGCTGGGGGAGAGTCAGGTACTATTTCATAGTTACAAAAGCTATGAACTATTTCATAGTTATAAATCAGTGTCAGCAGGTTTCTATGCTGCCTTTAAAAAAGTAATTTCAGAGCAATGAGTGCTGTCGGCTGCAAGCAGGCTTTCTCCCAGCAAGACTCAACTCTGGGACAGTAAATAAGTACAATAGCACTGGCCATCTAATAAAAGCTAGCTGATCAAGCCAGTATATGTCAAATTAACACTTAGATTGAGCTAACTGGTTTGCTCTCTTCTTACCTAAATGAATTCTCTATTTTGTTAAATGCAGCAGCTTGATTTAACTTGTTTTTCATTAGAAAAGCACATCAAAGCTAGAGGATACGAAAAGCTGTATTCTCATGCACAGATGACTGCACCACCCTCCTCAAGCCTGTCCTCTTTTCCTCTTTTATCTAATACCACAATAGTAAAGGCACTAATAGGCAGTCTCTCTTATGAGACACCTACATCTGAGTCCCTGAATGAATCTTAGCCTCAATTTTACTCGCTAGTTAAATTTTAATGTTTAAGTACTTTGCACAAAATGGAAGAGATCCCAGAAGGAGAGATTTCGAAGATGCTGCTGCATCTTTGTGATGTGCTGGGGAAGTGGAAGTGTCTTGTCTTAAAGCCCCTCAAGTATAAGAGGAGTGGAGATATAAAATAACCCTGACCTTGTCTCTTTCCTTGGGAAGACAATTTAGCTACAGGATAGAAGGCCCTTTCTCCTTCTTTGGAGCGCAAGCTATACTTCAATCATGTAAATCACTTTAGAACAACATGAAATTCTCTCCCACTTTTACTAAATAGCCTATCAAGTAAAACATTGACCAAATCTGCTCATTATTAGGAGTGTTATATAATTTTTAGAGTTTATCAGAACAGCACTCAACCAAGACAGCCTGACAGCAGCAGAGCTCCTGTGTCTCCTCACTGCTCAGATCCTCTTCTGGAGGAGCATCCCCAGCCAGACTCATTTAGGATGCCCTGTAGCACCAGCAGACAAATGCCTCTTCCAGACAGCAAAGGATCAGAAAGACTTTGGAGACGTACAGATCTCTCCTTACCTGGTTTCCGCATTTCTTTAGGTCACTTCCCACAGGAGAGAAATACTGGTGACCAGCTGCACTTTTGGGTACCCACCTGAACTAAACACAGAAGTGGTGCAGAGAGGTGCACAGCCAGCACTGAGTTCCCTGCTCTAACCCAAGGAGGGCTGGGGAGTTGCCTGGGTTGTGGGTGATTTGTCTCACATACGACAGGCAAGTAACTTTACACCTACACTGGGCTCTCTTTGCATCCCAAAAAAACAACAGGCAAGTCAAGCCAGATCCATAGGGTACCAAAACCACCTGCATCTCTCCAGTGACTGCAAAGAGACCAGCTCAGACACAAACAGGTAGGCAGGTGACAACAGCTGGCAGAGTAGCTGCTTCCCACCAGGGAACCTCTTGTCTTATGTCTGGGCATAAAGTGAGATACTGGGATTTGTCATTCATACAGCAAGCAGTGTGGCTGGGAGGCCTACAGACAAAATTTTAGGTGAAGGCAACTTGAACACAGAACAAGGATTTACCCATCTTTCTCACTCACTACAGAACTATTACCTGAACAGAGAACTGTATAATCACTGGAGAGGAATTTTCCTGCAAGCCCAGAGGCAAAACTCTGCACGTGACTTTTAAGAGACCTACTTTTGTCATATCACGCATTTTAACATTGCTTCTTTCCATCTACAGAGCAATTTTATCACAGTCTTCCAGCATTGCTATCCCTTATGGTGCAGTAATGGTGCTGAAATCCTCAGTTTATAGAAAAAACTCAAAACCAGTTAAGTGTCCTTGTCAGTTAGGGATGGTGGGACACCCCAATAAGTCAGAACAGTAAGCAGAAAGGCAATGAAATAGACTGTGAACTCTTCAGTTTTGCAATAAAAAAAGAGAAGCACCCTTCCCAGCAGGTAATATTAATAGTGCTTATTTGAGCACTGGGGGGGGAAAAATAAAATAAAACCCCACAACCTGGATACTTCTATTTGCCTAAACTTCCCTCAGTGATACCACTCCAGGCTATAATCAATAAGAGAAAGAAGCAAATCATTAAAAAATGAAAGAAAAGAATGCAGCCCATATAAGCAAAATTCTTTCCATGAGCATTTTTGTCCTATAATTCACAGAATTTACCACAAATCAAACTTAAACCTACTCTCTAACCTCAACCCTGTGTAGCAAGGGGGACTCAAATCCTCTTCTTTTTAAAGGAGCAATACTGCATAACACACTTGGGATAAACCTATTCCTCCCACTTAGGTTCCTCTGTACATGCTTCTATTTTGCTGTAGGAGCGGCTTTCCCTGCAGAAATGAAACTAAACTAATGTGGACAAGACTTCAACAAAAACTTAGTATCTCCCTAAACACCAAGTCAAATACTTCAGAATGGATTTAAGAAAGATTTATTGCTGCCTTGATCCCAAAGTACTGACTAAACAGAAGAGATTTCCATGCAGTTTGTACTCCCAGTGCAGGCTCTATGCTACTAGGTTTCCCATGCAATAGGCAAAGAGATATTTTTACCCCTATTTTATAAGCAATATTGCTATACTTTAGGAGGCTTAATTTAAAGAGCCTGTTCTCATTGTTTATACACAGCTGTTGAGGACTGGGGAGTGCTGCAGAAAACTCAGTGGACCCTCTGCTTTTGTAGATGCAGCAAGCTCAAATCCTTCAAATGTGTTGATTCCAGAAGATGCAAGGGAAGATTATGCCCAGGAACTATCCACAAGGGACACAATCACAGTGCAGAACAAAACAATAACAGAGAACAAGAGCTAAGCCATGACTCTCGTCCTAGTCTGCAGCATCTACCAGACTAGGCACTTTCCCTGTGGTGAGGGCACAGCTCTCACCTAATGATCCTTCTTAGAGCAGTCATCCAGCAACAAACTCACTGCTCATCCTCTGAAAGGCATCCTACCTAGTCCCTTCTCTACAGGCCAAATTCACCATTTCTGTCTGTCTTGCTTTTAACTTTCTGAGCCCTTTGACACAGCTGAGGCTAACTAAATCATGATCTGACTGCTAATCTTCTTGCCTCTTCTTAAATGGTAATGTGATGCTGTCACTATTCACTTCAGCTGTTCTGTCGTTGAGCCTTGAAGTCATCTCAGTTCACCATGAGCTGCTGTGTTTCCTGCCTTATTGTGCAGCTACGCAGTGATTGTTCCTCTCCTGGGGCTTGCCAAGGACATGATAGTTGCAGGGTGCTCACACGTACTTTGTTTGATCTCCAGGGACACGCTCAGTAAAGGCCAGGGGATCACGTCCAAATCAGCTGCTCTGCAGTCACATCCCTCACCCTCAAACTGCAGGCATTGCTGAAGGTATTTGCTGTATGCTATGGGGAGAACAGCAAGAGCATTGACAGAAATATCACTGGCTCTTTATGACCTTTTCTTTTAATTCTCCTATTTAAGGTGAATAAGGAACTCACCCCCTTAACTGGAAAATGAGAACACACAAGCAGAACAACTCCCCTTAATGCAGAGAGGAGCTATGAGGTTATGCAGCATTTATCAAACCCCCAGTGAGGGCAC